CGTCGAACTTCTGGCGCCACGTGCCGAACTCCTTGAGGGACGCGGAGGAGGTCAGGTGCGGCGTCGAGATAGCGCTCGACGGGAGTTTCGCTGGCGTTGCAGCGGGCTGTCTGCTCTCGGTGACGGCCGTCTCGCTCCGTGCGATCGGCTGTTGCACCTGGTTCGCCAGCGCCCGCTCCAGCATGGTTGCGAGTCGTTCCTCCCGCTGCGCCGCCTGCTCGGCAAGCCGCTCCTCTCGCTGCGCTGCCTGCTCCGACTGCTGGGCCAACAGCGCCGTCAGGCGCTCGAGTTGTGCGTTGTCCGCCATCACTGACGCGAGCGATCCGACACGGCTGCACGTAGTTCAGTATATCTCGGAATCGGTGTCGCACGCTACCGATCACACTACCGACCGCGCCATGTTCTGTTCTGCGCCCGCCGGATCCTCAGTCCGCACTGACACGACACGCACCGCTCTGCACATATATTGCCGGCTCGGACGGCACGCACACCTTGACGGCTCGCTCGACACTGCCCGCTCTCCGCCGGCGCCGGCCGGCGGCCGCTCGGCGGGCCAAGGCCGGGCCCTTCTCATAACGGGGGATGCGGGCCCGTATCATAACAGGCCGGTCAGAGAGATGGATAGTCTCCCCGGCGCACTCTGATTGCATTCCATAGCGGGCCGCGCCCCGTTCGGTCCGATGGGGCAGCAGGAAGCGCTCGGAAATGGGCGAAATCGGCTGTGGTTCTCTAGGGAGCCCGGCGGAACCAGAGTGGACTGGTTTGGAACCAAATAGAATTCGGCCGGACACCACGCAGCCGGCGCGAACAAGCAGCTTGTCGGGTTAGAAGTGGACACTGTTCGTCGTTAAAACAACACATATCCCGTCTCTCAAGTCCGTCGCGATAGTGGGCCGTGAGATAATTTCGGCGGCGGCCTCTTTAAATATCGATCGGCTGATGGCGGCGGTGGGTTTCCGCTGTGTCAGGACCTGGTGACAGCCGCGAAAGGCAGGAGCGCACACTGACGGGTGCGGCGCACTGGTTTGATTGGGTCGTCGATGACTGTCTGTGCGGACGTGCCGCATCGCTGACCACCGCTGACGGGCCGTCCGGGCGGCGGTCGAGTCACCGGCCCGGCCCGCCGTCATGATAGTACGCCACCGATCTGACTGCATTTGCAGCATGGAGTTCCTGGAACAACGGGGCCAATGTGGACCGACATCACGTCCTTGCCGGAGCCTAACCGATTTACCATTTGGATCGATTGGCGTTCCGTGCGGTGTGGCATTCGGCGTACGTGTGTGCCCCGCTGAGAAGGTTTCATTTATGAAACGGCCCCGCGGCATCGGCCCTTTGCCTGGCGACGGGCCGTTTTCACCGAAAGGGATATGGGTTCGCTGAGGCGACTAATCAGCTGGACGGCGCCGTGTCTGACCTGGAGTGAGAAGTCGGGGGCCGAGTCGAGTCAATGGGAAAATGAACTCCGCCGCGCGGCCGCCGCAGCCGGCCTGCGGCTGGCGGGATGAGTGAGGATCGTGCGGGTGGAGTAACTTTGGACGTGCAGTAACGTTAAACTTATCTTCCCTGCGCAAAGTTTGATGCTATTTCGCACAGTATATGTAAGCCGACTGGTATCTCTCCGTTGGGAGCTGGATTTACGGCCAGTTGCCGTGGCTGCGTTCGGCTGCCTCCCACCACCGTCCCGCTCTGCTCATGTGCCGAGGGATGCACCATCGGACCTCTGACCGCACCCGCTGGTGACTTCATCATGTGCAAGGCAGATCCTGCCTCTGGGCTGTTCTCATCGGCACGTACCTTCACATTGATAGCAGCATTTGCATTCGCAGCGTGGCAGGCGCATCTCGAGACTAACGGTGAACGGAAATGTACGATCTATTTGTGGAGGACTTCAGGCGGCGGTTAGAGTAATGTCTTGTTTCCACGCACCTGTTACCACCGGCCGCCGGGTCAGCCGGCGAGAACATCCGGCCACCGGCCGCGCGGCCAGGAAGTTCAGGGCTTTGACCACCTTTGTCGCCGGCAGCTCGCTCGCTGCTGGCCAGATAATTAGCAGGCTAAAGAGCCTCGTTAAATCTAAAGAGCCATTGGCGGGGCGGCGAGAGGCGCTCTTGAATTGTCACTTGGCTCAGTCGGGAGGCGAATATGACAGTGACACAACGGGAGTCCCGTGCGAGAATGATGCCCGGATGGTAACGAACGAACCGGTGCCTCAGCTCATCCAGCCGCTGTGTCTGCTGTTAAGATCGCGCACATATCAAATAGTTAGTTGCGTTATGTGTTGAGGGGTGGGACCTACTGGAGCGAATCATTTTGCACAAAGTGCATCCAGTACCTACCTGTGGAAAGGTATACGAATATTGATGTCTTGTGAATTATTCATTTTTATCATATTCCACCCCACGATATTCTTCTGTTATCACTCGCCTCCGTTGAAGTTAGTTCGCTGACTCGTAGCCATTTTGACCTCCGTGCCTCGTGATGACCCGTCCCCTCCCCTGCTTCCCTTCCGAGAAGGTGTGCGCTGGAGCGTTCCCGGGCCAATGCCACGCCCGGCTGCCCGCCGACGGCAGTGGTGGTAGCCCTCTCCGCTCCGCGGCCAGCTTCCTCGTGGCTGCCGCGGCCGCTCCGAGTCGGGCTCGGTGCTGGCATTACGGGGCTAACCGCGCCGTCAGCGGCGATTTGCGCCTCGGGACGCGTTCCCGACCGACTTTGGGCGTCGCGCCGACGCACGCCTGCTCCCCGGCGACCGCCAGGCGTCGGCAGTTGCCGAGCAATTGACCGTCGCCAGCCGCGGATACGGCGGTCATAACCGGCCGGCGGCGGCGGAGCGCGGCGCCGCGGAGACAAAATGTGCCGCACTGGGACGCCAGACCGGGGAAAGGTCGGCGCTGGCGACAGTCACACTGGCAGTTTCCTGACTGGGACAGTGTTTCCACACCTTCACTGTCCCGCTCCCCGCACCTGCTCAATCTTTTTACTCTCATCCCTCCGTTCTTCGTTATCTCGTCCTTAGCTAGCTTGTCTCGCCGTTTAGCGTTTCCTACAGGGCTTGTGTCGCTGGGTGTGACAGTCACCCTCACCCGCACCGGCCAGAGCTTACGACCCAGTACGGGTCACGGCTGGGTCAGCCTTCCGCCGGTAAATGTGTCTGCGGGCCGCTGTAAACTGCCGGGAGCGAGATGGCCCGGCTCGGACCGTCACCAGCTGCCGCCGTGCTCACAGCTGTGCGGTGGGATTCAGTTAATAGCGACCGACCACAATAAATTCCCCACCTTGGCGCGCTCATGGACACGCGGCCAAGACAAACGGCACCACATTTCGAGCAAGGTGTTTTCCAATCGCGGATTAAATCACGTATGCGATGGTTTCAAATGGGTGTTTTATTGACCAGCTGATGGCGAATCTGCGAGTTTTGATGAGCTGGCCACGCGCCCTCCTCTGGCACTGATTTATGAAAGGAAGTTGTATGATCACCGAACACCGTTTGTCTGATGAGATTTGACCATATCACGGTGTGCTTTTAGTGATCTCTATATATGACCCTGGTGATAGCGACTAGCGCTCGTTACACGGACTCATGAGAACTTATCTTTTGCATTTCATTCGTTTTCCTTTCGGGTCCTCTATCCTCACACAGTCCCCTCATCTCGGCGCGTGCAGCGATTTTTAGGCGCTCTGTACCGCTCACGTCCTCCCGACTCCGTAGCTTCGGCGGCCCTTCTCCCGACTTTTCCTCTCACTAACAAGACCCCGTCACCGAACCACGACCAATCGGGGTGATGGTGGCCTCAGTTTGGTCGCAAACTGGCCGCCAAAGCACTGGGGGCGGTCCCTCAGGGTAAAGAAGGAGCCGCCGGCGCAGTAGCACGGCCGGAAATGGCGCCGAACGCTCCGGGCTCGAGCCGAAGTAATCTTGGCTCGGGCGTTCGCTTCATTGCTGCGCTGCAGGCAGCGGTGGCACATGCCCGGCACCCTAACGCGTGGTGCGTGGTCCGTTGGCCGGCTGATATCACTGGCGAATGAGGTCCGTTCGGGCCCCGTAGTGTAATTGGTGGCTGCCATGGAACAATGATCCCCATGGGAAAAGATGACGCAGGCTGGGGTCGCCAGTGTGAACTTTACCAGCTGGTCGGTGTGCACGGAAGCCGGTGGTCACCGTCCATAATACCTTTGAACGGTCTCCGACGCAGCAAGGGTGTCTAAATGTCTTGGCATAAGTCCCTTGCATAGCGAGGACTCGTATACTCACCTGTTCATATCGCATATGCTTACTTATTGAGCCGCCCTGAACGTGTTCACCGACGCTTGTTTACGTCGCCTGTGTCCAGTCCACGTGTTCTCTCGTGTGTTCACCTGTTTTGTTCCCCTGTGTTCACCTGTACTGTTCCACTGTGTCCACAGCTGTTCAGCCAGCCGGACGTGGTGCAGCAGACCAAGATGGACGCCAGCAACCTGGCCATGGTGTTCGCGCCCAATGTGCTGCGCTGCCGCTCGCTCGAGTCGCACGTGGTGCTCGAGAACGCGCGCAAGGCCATGGCCGTGATGAAGACGCTCATCCAGCACATGGACACAAAGTGTATGGAGGGCGTGGTCTGAGGCAGCGGCGGCGCGACCAGCCGCTGCTTAGTCGGGCGCACACCAAAGATGGGACGGGAGCCGGGGAGGGGACACCTAGTCACGAGGGCGGCCGGCGCCGGCAGCTGAGGCGCAGCTGGACGAAGGGGCACGGACCGGGGCCCCGCCGGGTGGTGTCTGGGCCCGCACTGCGGCCGCCACGAGCGATCTTCATTTTCTATGCGAGTTGCGACAATCGAGTGATGTTTGAGCGCGCCACTCGACGGCGGGCGGCACGGCGCGGCGAGTGTGGCGCGGTGCGCGCGAGTCAGGCCTGTTTCTCCGCAGCTGTTGACTGTACGTACACTCACGTTTCGTCGGGCCGTCAGCTGGCCCGTCGTGCTGCAGCTGAGGCCGTCAACGGCCCGCTTACCATGTGTAGCTGCTCATTATGCCAGTGTTTATTTATTATATATACGTCTATCATATCGGCGCGATGTTGCGTTATTCGAGTCGGTGCCGTCTTCATATGTGTTCATATGTGTTCCTCGGTCGCCGCCAATACACTTTAGCAGCTGACTGGAGTGTGTTGATGGAGCCTTTGTGGGCCGGGAGCATGCTGGTTAAGTGGTCTTTGATCATAGCCGGCTATAATCGCCTAAAAGACCGCATGTTTCATCTCGTTGTAGCCCTGCCGTGCTTTCAAATCTGAGCTGATATAGCCTTCAACCGCGATTTTAGCCGAAATCGCGGCGTTTAATGTTTCCGGGAGGTTAATAATACGACGCTGATATAGTGTTAATGGTCTCTATGAGCCATGCCTTCATCAGTCTACATTGTTAGACGGCGGGTCCGGCCGCTCAGCGGTTAGTTGTCTCCCTTGATCATGGTGGGGCAGCTTCGGATGAGGAACTCGTTGAACAGCGTGATGTCCTGGTACTTGTGCTGGTGGTGCAGGCGCCGGTCAGAGCGGTCCTGAAACAGACCACGGAACGGTCAGAGCGGTCCTGAAACAGACCACCGGTCAGAGCGGTCCTGAAACAGACCACGGGACGGTCAGACCGGTCCTGAAACAGACCACGGGACGGTCAGAGCGGTCCTGAAACAGTCCACCGGTCAGAGCGGTCCAGAAACAGACCACCGGTCAGAGCGGTCCTGAAACAGACCATCGGTCAGAGCGGTCTTGAAACATACAACGGGACGGTCAGAGCGGTCCTGAAACAGACCACGGGACGGTCAGAGCGGTCCTGAAACAGACCATCGGTCAGAGCGGTCCTGAAACAGACCACCGGTCAGAGCGATCCTGAAACAGACCACCGGGGTCAGAGCGGTCCAGAAACAGACAGCGGGACGGTCAGAGCGGTCCAGAAACAGACCACCGGTCAGAGCGGTCCTGAAACAGTCCACGGGACGGTCAGAGCGGTCCTGAAACAGACCACCGGGGTCAGAGCGGTCCTGAAACAGACCACCGGGGTCAGAGCGGTCCAGAAACAGACAGCGGGACGGTCAGAGCGGTCCAGAAACAGACCACCAGTCAGAGCGGTCCTGTAACAGACCACGGGACGGTCAGAGCGGTCCTGTAACAGACCACGGGACGGTCAGAGCGGTCCAGAAACAGACCATCGGTCAGAGAAAACAGACCACGGTCGTCGGTCAGTCACCGGTCAGAGCAAACAGACCACGGGACGGTCAGAGCGGTCCTGAAACAGATAAACAGACAACCTGAAACGCCACCATTCAGAGCGGTCCAGAAACAGACCACGGGACGGTCAGGACAGTCCTGAAACAGACCACCGGGGTCGGAGCGGTCCTGAAACAGACCACGGGACGGTCAGGGCAGTCCTGTAACAGACCACGGGACGGTCAGAGCGGTCCTGAAACAGACCACGGGAAGGTCAGGGCAGTCCTGACCACCGGGGTCAGAGCGGTCCTGAAACAGTCCACGGGACGGTCGGAGCGGTCCAGAAATAGACCACGGGACGGTCAGAGCGGTCCAGAAACAGACCACGGGACGGTCAGAGCGGTCCTGAAACAGACCACGGGACGGTCAGGGCAGTTCTGAAACAGACAATGGGACGGTCAGAGCGGTCCTGTAACAGACCATGGGACGGTCAGAGCGGTCCTGAAACAGACCACCGGGGTCAGAGCGGTCCTGTAACAGACCACGGGACGGTCAGAGCGGTCCAGAAACAGACAACAGTCAAAGTAAGCAGACCACGATCAGTCACCGGTCAGAACAGATCTGGAACGGGCAGGGTCACTTGTCACTGAATAGAGGACCGGTCACCGGACTCACAGTAACCCGGGCTGCGAGTTGCGACGGCGGTAACATCGTACGAACACTAGACAGCACACATACTGGCACACGGCAGACTACAGACTAGGTAAACTGGCTTGCCAAGTAAAATTGAACGTCAATATTAGGTACGAATAAGATGTGGTGACAATTTTCAACGTAACCTCGAATGAAAATTCGGTACAAAACATGACACCCACACATGCCTGGCCAGATGGCCTGTCAGTCACGATGGCACATGACATACAATCTCCGGAGGAACATATGAGCGCCCTTTCTTATGCTCCCTCACATCATCTCACATGCAGTCGGTCTCTTCAAACCACACCATCCATCTCACCACCGCGTCAGACGGATGTTGTGCCACCCCACCATTGTGTACGAGATCAGACGACATTCCATCAGCTCACGCTGCCAACGTCTGTCCGCCCCTCGGCCGCTCAGGTCATCGACTCCGCCCGGTAACATCGCCGTCGACGCGACAATGTGTGAGAGCGGGCGGGCTGTCGGCGGCCGACCGGCACGGAGATTGGACTGCAGCACGGGGCTCGTTTCAGCGTCAAACGTGCGGTCCAAGCCGTGGCTCGGGTGACGGTGAAATGGAGAAAAATCGGGGTACCCAGTTCGATTGAGAAGGAGAAAGAGATAAGATAAAGAGGAAGCCCGCTCGAATTAAAGTTGAAAGCTTTAAGTGAAGGGCTTGAAAGGTTGGAAATATTAGAAATTTAGAAATGTTTGATCCAGGTCTACGGAGTCGGAGTCGAAGTCGGTCGGAGTCGTCAATTTTGCCCGGAGCCGGAATCGGGTTTGAGTCGCTAAAATCTTACCGACTCCGACTCCGGAGTCGGAGTTAACATTGCATGGCTCAAAGTCATACCCTACACCTGTTTGCTTGACGATATTTCGCTCGTTGTCCTATCAAAATTGATTTTGTTGAAGCTTAGGACATAGGTACCACTGTTTTGGACGAGCGCTTTCGTTGAAAAAAGATGAAGACGGCTGCTGCGTTAAAACCTATCTATATTACTATTTGTGGTGACGTAGTTTCTGTCTATTACGAAGGTCGCGACATGGTGCTACGTAGCGCGGGTTACAGGTCACACCGTTGCACTACCGCGCTGAAGTTTGTGCAACTCATAGAACAAGGATGGACAACGTGCCTTTGATGGGTCTCAGCTCGATCGGATCGATAGCGAGCGCGTGGCGCGTGCCCAAAAAGTGCAAATTCGCGTCATAGACTTTACATGTATTAATCGGCTGGCAAAAACGGGCGAAAACAGCCAAATTTGCCCGACACGGGTCCGGTCCCGGTGCAATATCTCGGTAACCGTGGGCCCGACCGGTACGGGGAAAACAGCATCGTGTAGAGAATCGAACGGGCTATCGAATGGTGTGCGGTGCAGGGGTTGGCACGCGCCACGTGCACCGGGGAGGCAGGGGCGCCGCCACGGATTTTTGACAGGGGGGGGGGACGGACTGACCGACTGAAAACCCAAAAGTAGACATTCTTACCGTGGCTTTTTCGGTCGGATGCATTCAACGTTTAAAGCAATATGCCACTTTTAACATGGGTTTTGAACTGAAGTAACAGTTTTGTAGCTTGAGTTGAGACGAGAACAAATCAGGGGATTTTATGGCCCAACGATCACCCTAGCCAAATATATCGGTATCGATTTTAGGTTTGAAGACCGAAGTCATTCCCATAGATTACACTTTGTCATTCTCTTACCGAGGAATCCATTCCCTTACGGAAAAATGCTAGCCAATCAGCATTCAGCTGGTTTGAGCTACGTACTATGCTTGGTCAACGCGTTATCAGCTTCCGCTGCAATATAGGTAACTAGCCTCTACGAAAGATGGAAAATAGTGATGTAAAAATAAATGTAAAATCCTTTTGCAAATATTCATTATTTCCTGACCATTTTAAGTTTAAAAACCCATAAAAATGTGGCAAAACAACTGGTTTGAGGAAAGTAGTTTAGGAATTAGGTATTTCCCTAAAGTACTGGCTATAGACCGTATTCCCACCGAGTACCTACCTACATATATACACATCTGATGTCCGATTCAGTTTGACACGGCAAAGCCTCGTGTTCTATCACGGTATAATTGCTGATGTCATAAGTGTAACTTTATATCTCTTTGTGGGTGCTCAAGCACCCCCAATCCTGAGCTCAGCACCCCCTGCCTCCTTAAAGCACCCACAGCCTCCTCAAAACATTCCCAGCTGACTCAAGGCCCTCGATAATCAGTATTTCCATCTCCTAGTACTTGTAATGAGCTCAGTGAATCATGCAAATACTACATATGCTTACTCAATTCAGTGACTAAGAGAAATGAGAATATACATTGAATAAATTACCACAACCCCCCCCCCCCAACAAACAAACAAACCCCCCGTTACAACAAAGGTCCATTTTGCGACCTCTCCATCATAAGTCAATGGGAGAAATTTGAAAAACGTCTGATTTGCACGAACGCCATTCTAGACACTCTCAAACATCGAGATGTAGGTAAAATTGACACACTGAACCGAAAAATGGCAACTGTGACCCCTGGTTATGTCCCCGAGGTCATCTCAGGTCACGAACAGAATCTAACAGTTTTTCGCTAATAACTTCTGCTAGAGGCGTGCTAGAGCGCTGAAAACGCCTTAGGTGTGTTCGGCTCGACGTTGCGGACCGACTGATATGCCACATGACCTTTTCCGGTCAGGTCATGACCTTGACCTGGGGTCAAATTTTCAAGTTGACCTTTGAAGGTCAAATTATAGTTCATTCGATGCGTCTCGACGAGAGGAACACGATGCTGGCAAAAGTAATGTCATGGCTCTTTTGAGTCAAAAGTTATTGCCGAAAAAACATTTTTCGTAAAAACGGTTATTTTTGGAGTTTTTGCCCTCTGGAGGCTAAACCGTTGACCTGAGGTCAAATCTAAGAACATTACTCAGAAAGGTCTGTAAAAGGGTTATCGAATGCGCTTTTCCTCAGCGCTGTAGCTCTATCGGTTCCCGAGATAGCCGTTGACAGTTTCTAAAATGTTGAAATAGTCAACATTTTACCTTTGGTGACCTCTGGTGACCTGACCTTTGACCTGACCCAAAAAATGACCCGAAGTGTTTTCGTCCTTATTTTGGACGTTCTTTCGATTGTCGCTTACCGCGCGTAGCTACGTGGCCCAGGAGCCGAGTTAGAAGGGGTGGGGGTGTTCAGACACCCCCCGCCCGGCGCGGAATCTCAGAGCACCGGCCCGGCGCGGGTTAACCCTCGCCGGCACAGGGGGGGGGGGGGGTGATGCAACCCCCCTAAGGGTTTTCGCGAATAACTCGCGTAAAAAAAGGCCGATCGGGACGAAACTTTCAGTACTCTCGCATTGATCAATTTTACACCTACCCTGAAAATTTCATGACCCTGACCCAAATAACCTTTGACCTGTGACCTCCTTTCCGAGACCATGTTTGGCCGGAATCGCGATTCGGCGTATGTCGGCTCGCATTAGCCGGGCGTTTGCAAGCTTAAAATTGGGTATCATCGGCTTTTTCTCGTGACGGGCAACACGCTCGTTTTTTTCTGCGAAGCTCTAGCTCGATCAGAGGCCAAACGCGAGGAGGTGTGGTCTTACCAACCCCCCCCCCCCCTCCCTTGTGCCATCGAAGGACGCAAAGTGGCCTGTGCCGGCGAGGGTTTAAGTTCCAGGGACAAAATGCAATATTTCACGAGAACCGTGTCCGGAGAGTAACCATCGAGCCTGTCCCGTCAGGCGTCATGTTGGATAGCCCTCAATATAAGCTCATTCGTGCAGAGCTATGCAGACCAGGCTGCCTAAGCGCGGACCTACCAAAAGTCCGGTAGGGCCTGAATTTAAATTTTAAACCCAGGGTGTTCTGAAATATGTTCAAAAACTTCTATATGATTATTAATGCATTGGGTGAGCCAAAATCGTTTTACAGTGGCGCTATTAAACAAGCTCTCGAACTGATTTGACATCATTCCTTGCATGATGCCTGATGGCTACAGTCAAAAAGAACAGCTGAAAAAATTAACTACGAAAAATATGGCATGCCTTTCTGAAAGCTATTGAGCACCCCCAATGATTTTTGGAAAACTACACCCATGTATGTATGCCACTAATATGATCGAAAATGGATATTGCATAGGTAATGCATATTGCATACCCGCGTGGGGGAGGGAGCGTTGTATAGTCACAAATCTCTCTTTATGGTTTGTGCACGAATCGGCGCGAAAATTGGCAAAAAAAAAAAACATGAGGCAAAACTGCTCCAAAATACGAATTTTGCAGCCCGTGTAACAAGCTTGATACCAGAAAACCTTAGGTCAGGAAAACCAAGTCAAGTAGTCAAGTCGCCTCAAAGTTTTGTGGTCCTGTCAAGTGTCAACCGTATAGCTTATTTCTTAGAAGCTGGAAATTTAGTGTAGCGTGACTGCAGAGGTGTGGGGTCGGAGCCGGAATCAGTCGGAGTTGACTGTTTTGGCCAGTTTTGGCCAGAGTCGGTGTTGAAGTCTTCGAAAATGTTCGGATTTTGACTTCGAGGTCGGATTGGTGTAAAGTCATGTTCTTGGCTGGTTAGAAGAAATATATAAGGCCCGTGTTCGGCCAGTCGTGTTATACGACACACGTTGATCACGATATCAAAAATCGGCAGTTCCGCGATGACAGGTCGGATAAGAGCTGGAGATTTTGTTGGCCGAGGTGGCAGGGGTCAGACCAATGCATGTAGGCCCACACCCCATATACTGAGTGGCCTCCTGGACCCTCTCAGATTCGGCACCGGCTGTTCCATCTCTTCCATCCTCAGGACAGTCAAATCCTTCTCCCCCACGCCGCAACCCCCTGCTCCGGGCTGGACGGGCAACTCTATCCCATGCGGGAATGGCTCCACTGGAGCTATAGTCCTTTGCCGGGTGCAGTGAGTGCCAGTGGGCTGGGCTGCCTGTTCAATTGTTCGGGTTCATCCCAAGTGGCTCACTGGGGTGGCTGCCCCGACCAATGTCTCCAACTAATTCTTTCATACTTGCGGCTCTGAAATGGTCTCATTGGACCGAAGGGCAAAATCAATTTTCGAGTAGGATAACAACCAGTAAAACGCTTTTTGGGGCGACCAACGGAGCGAGCGAGAGGGTGGGGTGGGCCTTGCACGTGCGAAATTGCGAGGGGATACCTCCAACTAACTTGTGCACTGCACCCTTCTAACCGGTCCCTAACGATATGCCAAATTTGAGCGCAATCGGCCTAGCCGTTCTCGGGATCTGGAAGCGGCACCCTGCACGTGCGCACGTGCAAAATGGGTCCCAACTGACTTTTGCAAGGCACCCTACTAACCGGTCCCTAACCATGTATCAGATTTCAGCACAATCGATTCAGCCGTTCTCGAGATCTGGAATCGACCCCTGCATGTGCGCACGACGGCCGCACGTGCAGCAGCACCCCAACTGTGGCACATGGATATGCATTGCCTAGTGGGTATAGGTACCTACCTACATGCCAAGCCAACTTTCAGCGCAATCAGCCCAGTAGTTGCCGAGATATTGAAATTGTTACAAAACTGACACCTCTTCGTTTTTCACGTGGCACGTGCATATGGGGCCACTCACATGCATCGGGAATAGTCCGATGCTCGTTAGAAGGAATGAATCTAGTGCTACCCTACAAAAATCATCGCATGTAAATCGGTCAAGTGGTTGCTGAGATATAAGCCTAGCAAAAGCGTGACCACGGCGTGCTCAGAAATTTCCGTGAACCTACAAAAGACTACGCTCGCTTCGCTCGCTCCGTAATGAGTTTGGGGGGACGTCCCCCTTCCATTCTGAGAGTGGGGGGACGCGTCCCCCCCGTCCCCCCCGGTGGCGGCGCCCATGCGGGGAGGACACTTTCTTTTGAAAAATGGACGTTTTGGACGGATTTTGGAATTTATATTAATTTTAGGTGATCGTCAGACGGAATGAGTTGAAACAGCGCCTATTAGCAATAAAAATGTACCGTCTCTCATGGAAAAATTGTGAAAAGCTAATTGATCAAAAACAATGTGGAAAAAATCGCTGAATTAAATGGTATTTGTCCAAAATGTGCCACTAAATAATTACACGGATTTTGCTGCTTAACCTAATACGTTTGACAATTGAAAATGCCATCATTGGAAAGAACATTCAATTCTCTCCAAGATCCAATCATCACGTTTGCATGACAAGCAACAGTATTCTTAGAAATATAATTGTTTCAAACCTCTGCAAAACGATTTTTAGTGAAAATTATCTACGCCTTTAATTTGTCATAAAACTACGCGCCTAAATTATAAAGCACATTTGACAGATTCTGAAGTGGAAAGCATGCTTATCAGACACGGGCACCTCGATGCGGTGGATATTTTTTCCACAAACCAAAACGTTTAGCCGTCAAAAAGCAATCGACCGAAATGGATAGATAACCCAACCGACACAAGAACAACCGACCACCCGCCGATCGAAAATATCCCTTTTCGCGTTGCGGAGCACGCGGGTCACCCTAGTTAGGTACTATTTCTGCATGCTATTAAAAAAAACTTCTTGCGATGCAAGCCTTGGAACGTGTACCTAAGGGGTCGCTTCAGGTAAGATAAAAAGATCTCCGACATTAAATTTGATTTCATTTAAAGAGCAATGTCCGGAGTCGGAGCTGGAGTCGGAGTCGGAGTCAATTTTTGAAGTCGGAGTCGGAGTCGGAGTCACCTTAAAATCCATGGGCTCCGCAGCCCTTTGATCATCCATTACAAAACTGTTTGTGCCGCCCACAGAAGAGCTAAAGTAACCGCAGGTTGTTTGAAATAGACAAACACTATTCGTTAGAATTGTGTTAAAATTGCGTTTTAAAAACTAACAAGTTTGGCGGCCCTGGCCCAGCAAGACAGCTGGAGAATGTGTGAGAATGTCTAGGAGGAAGGGGAGAGAGAACTCTGCTCCACTCTGCTATCACTTTTATGTTGCTACATTGTGCCATATGTTTCATTGATCATGCTTTATTTCTCGTGTATCTTTTGTTCCTTAAAGGGACCCTCCCACCTTAACATTAGATTTGAGTTGAGATAGCCAAAATGGGGTCCCTGGCCCACAATTACCGGTTTCGGCACTCACAACATCGAGAAATGCCTTAAATCGGAAATATTGAATTTCAAAATTGCAGCATTTTGATTCAGAGGGGCTAATGCTTAGGAATACCCCTCTGAATGTGTGACGTCAGCGCAGATATCTAACGATTTTTAAATGTTTGACTAAAACGTTTTGTAGCACGCGGTGGTATATGCTATTTGCGCGCAACATCTGCCGCAAACGCCGCACTTCTAAAATAAAGTCGCTAGAAACAGCGGAGATCCCAAAAAAGTAAACAAAAGTAAAAGTCTAATATCTTGAAAACCGGTGAATATTTTTCGGTGAAATTTGGTAGATATTCGTTTTCGCTCTTTCTGAACCGAGCGACATCACTTTCATGCCAATTCATAAACTTTTTTGAAGGTGGGAGGGTCCCTTTAATAAACGTTTTGTGTGTGTGTGTGAGAAGGCCGAACGAATTTTAGCCGTTGGTCACCAGTGGATATGATATTATAGACATACCTAGCATAGGTATAGGTATACGCATGCGGCAGAACGATCGGATTCGCGAAACATAGCTAAGTTGAGACGGGACCGTCCTCACTTCTGCATGGATAATTCTGCGCTTGCTTGTGAATTGGTTTCGTACGAAGCACCGTATCTGAAAATTCGATACGTTCGGTGCCTACTGCCTACATAAAGCGCTGGAGATCACGCTGGAGTACCAACAATATGGCGGTGCCAAGAGTAAGCTGTCGCCTCACGGCCGGAGACTCGCAGCCGGCAGTGGTGTCCAATTACGGTCCATCGGACCGCCCCCACGTCTGGCGCCGCCCCTCCGGCTCTGTCTCCGCCCCCTCTCTCTTCCCGCCCTCTCGCCTCCGCTCTGCCGCCTCGCGGCCTCCCTCTGCTCAGGAGATGACACGTCACGCGCGACTCAGACTCGCAGAGGTCTTCTCCCGAGTCCTGACCGGCCCACTCCGGACAACAGACCGGCCGACTCGGGACAACAGACCGGGTAGATCGGAGTTGGAACACACAATCGACCCGCATCTTTACATGGGATTCTCGATCTATGACCTGAATCAGTAGCGGATTCCTCGACTGAATCAGTAGCGGACACGAGTGCCAGGCTCCAGCTGCACTCTCACCTGAAGCTACGGCGGACACGAGTACAGCCATGTACCAGCCATGCCCTCATCTAAATTAAAAGCGTTTCCCTCACCTGAATCAGAAGAGGCCGCGAGTGCCAGCGTTTCCCTCACCTAAGGAGAGGCCGATAGTGCCAGCGGTACTTCTCACCTGAATCAGTAGCGGCCGCGAGTGCCAACCGTATCCCTCACCTGAATCAGCAGTGGCCGCGAGTGCCAACCGTAGGTACTTCTCACCTGAATCAGGAGAGGCCGCGAGTGCCAACCGTACTCGTGAGAGGTAGTCTGAGGACACTCGTACTTCTCGCGAGGAATGCGATTGAACTGAAAAATACCTAATATTCGTTAGCATACACACAACGTCTGATTGGCAGGTTGTCCCAAATAAGGTAAATTTGCTTGCGTTATGAATGCACAAACAGGATAAAATTAAAAATGACCTTTTCCAACATTTATAGGTACAACTTTCACACGATTACGCATTTATATAACAAATAAGTTCCCTCCTAACTCCTGCGGCCCTGCCATATTACGCTCAGAAGCATCACCTGAAGATAGGACAGCCCAAGAAGGTGATCTGACCTTGTTGACAGTGTTGATGAATTCCTTGTCTATTGGCGCATTGGGATCAACCGTGTCATATGGAGAGTTGGGCTTTCCAGCGAGGGCCTCCCCTGGTGACAGAGAGAGAGGGGGAGGGAGAAGAGAGGGAGAGAGAGAGAGAGAGAGAGAGAGAGAGAGAGAGAGAGAGAGAGAGAGAGAGGGAAGGTGAGGTGAGAGAAGGAAAGAATTAGGTTGATTAGTCCCATACTTTTAAGTATGTATTGCATAGATTCAACTTTATAATCACCACACTGAAAGAACAACGATCGTCACGCAACAATTATCGAAGGAACACATTGATACTGATCGATGAACAATGAGCAATGAGCATACCTATAATAACTGATTACTGAAAGCTAGCAGCGTATATCAAGCAGCATTCATCTTACCAACACATTGATAAATCTTGACTGATATAAAAGCCAGCCTGTGTTGGCTATCAACTCTAGCAATCCCCATTGGCCTGACTACCAATTACTATGTAATGTCAGTAAGCTTACTTCATAATTCTTACTTTTTCTGAATGGGTTGATGCCGTAATTTTCGACTAGCTTGATGTGCTTCTCTTCTTTTTCGATAGACTCGGTTATAATTCGATATTCGGCCGTGAGGTCTGGTAAAGCGCTTTTCGGGTCCTTGTCCACCATATTCACCAGAGTGTTTAATGCATAAATATGTATGCTATTCCGGAATTAAATAGCTGCGATAGCTAAAGGACGTGAGTTTTTTCCAAGTGTTCGTCGATGGATGGAATAATGGCTAAAATTTACTCATATGCAAATACATTGATCACCAGTAAGAAGTTTTCATGGGAGCAAATTCCTCAAACCCGCCAACCACAACTCTCCATACAAGATTTCAATGTTTGAACAACCGGGCGGGCGGAGGCGAAGGTAAGTAAAATGGCCTTGCGTAAAATATAATATTCCTCTGATTCCTCTGATGTTCCTTGCAATGAGGATTTCGAATTTTAAAATCTTGCTAATTTATCTCGTGACATGTTCCTTGAGTTGCCATTTTTTGGATGACTTTGTCACAGGAAGACATCTGAACATGCCCCTATGCAGTGACGTAATGGTTGCATCAACACCGTTTTTATCTGTGCGTGGCTTATGTGTGTGAATTATGAACGCAACCCGTTGATATGCTAGAAATAACAATCCCAACCTTCGAAACCGATCGATTGTGCACGGCATACCCTCATCATTCTGCTCCAAATGAGTGTGCGTGTGTGCGAGTGTTGTTCACTTATTCCACTCTGTATTCAACAGACTCGTCAAAGCTGACTGATTGGGCCGTCCAAGGTGCGAGCGGCCCGCCTCCGACCCATTCTACGGCGTGGCGCACTCATTGTTGTCGGCTGGTGGCGCTCTGAACTTGAACAGCATCCAGCAGTGATGAATCACACGCCCAGGCACCACTCGCAAATTAGCCGCCGTTAATCTGCGGCCCGCTCCGTCATCTATTCTGTAGATACATCTACCCATCGGTGTGGCGAGCTGCGGCTCCGAACCTTGGCCGCTGCCGCGCCGCCTGCCCGCGTCGCCGGCGACTGAGGGCGCCAGGGCGGGGCCGGCCGGGCGGAACCTTGACAGCAGAGTGCACTGTGCGGTATCAGTGGGGCCGCACGGGTCATCAGGATGTGTATCGAGCAGGGCCAGCTCGGCAGGCTGCGTCCGGCGCGGACGTCCACCGGCTGGGCCGCGCTCACAGCGCAGTTCCTATGAGAGTGGTCCGGCGGAGAGCGGTTCCGATGGCCGATGGACGCCGCTAATGGGCCGATAGCAGAGCGATTCTGGTGGCTGCTGATGTGGCCACTCCAGACAGAATAATATCCGGCCAGTCTGGCTCTTCTGGCCCGCCCCCATCCGCTCCTCCTCCGCTTTGTCCGACTTCCGATCACCCCCTCCCCCTCCATCCCGACTCTCGTTCCCTCTTTCTCTCTGCACATCGGACGTCGTTTTCCTCTCGGCTCTGGTCGAGCCGGGTGGTCCCCACCCCCACCGCACCCCACCCTCCCGCGCCGAGTAGTCTCAGTCACTTTCCGGTCTTATGGCCCTCTGCGGAGCGGCCCTCCGCCGTTGGTCAGGTGCTGGGCCGTTCGGTGTGACGGCTAGTACGGGGGAGTCGGTACGAGCCTGATGGACGCGCGCCGGTACCGTGAACCCTCCGTGACCCCCGCCCGCCGGTCAGGACCACCGAGGGTGTCCCGGGTGGCGGCACTGATTGCACGAGCCACTCAGACACCGGCATAACAGCTTCGGCGGTGCACGCCATCAGCTCCATGTGTTGCAAATGCCGATCGCCGTCGGGTATCAAGCTGCATCTGCAATGCATCACGACGTACTGCAGCTGATGCAGATGATATCCCCTTGGCGTTGAAGACGCATCAGCCATCAATCAGGCAGATAATGAGTCGAAATTGTCAACCTCCCTCCATCCAATCTGTCCTCATCGCATTGTGTGGGCGGAGCCGATGGCGCCTGACGGGTAAACTGCGCCGCAGTTTCCAGCTGCCGTGCGGGACAGCCTATGTGTCATTTCCACCGACCGTCGGGAATCATACTGGGAAAGCCGGGATGGTGGTTGATTACCGCGATCTTTTAAAGTTATTTATTTTAAATTTTGCATTATTTCACAACATATACAGTAGGTATGGCAAAAGCATGTGCCAAAATTACTCCAAAATCAGCAAACATGTAAATATTGAGGGCATTACAAAGCCTCACAATATCAAGAGAACCGTCAGTTGATTTTCGACGGCCTACATCAAACGAGCTAAGCCCAATGTGGGTGAACGGTGATATTCGGTCGTCGGTGCCTCGTCGCCTTCTCCCAGGCACAGTCGTCAGTGAATGACAGCGTTTCCTTTTATCGAAGGCAAAATATAAAGCATACATAGATAACGTGCACCAAGCTTGCAATTTATACACCGTCTTGAACATAACTTTGCACCTTTTTCGTAACCAGGCTAAACGTCTAACTTTTGGGATGGTTTCTCACTTGACTCAGGTCTTGATTGCATGTAACAAATAGGATACATCCGGGCTCGCGGTCAATAGGTGACCACTGACCATACCATAAACGTTGTCCATTTGTATCAGTTTCCTAGTGTCACTTCCCACAAACGTTAAGACGTAACGCTCCGTCATTTTTTTTTTTGCCTATGAATGCATTACGGCCAGCCCACGTTACGATTACGGCTGCGTGGCTGGCCTGCAGGACAAAATCTTGGTGCGATAATCATAAACCAAGTCTTTCATCTCAATGGCCGTTTTCACGACGGAACTTTCGCAGAGGAACTTATTTGATACCTAAAAAGTACCTACCCTTAGAGGCCTTAACATCCCTCAAACTGAAATATTTTATGTTCAAAATAATTTTAGAAGTTTAAATCCGGGCATTTTTTGCCCTCAAATCACTTATTTATTTACAAACACAGCAATTTTTGGTTCTAGTAGCCCACCTTTCGACTATGAGGTATTAAATCAGCGTGGCAACTTGCTCCCTCTTTGCTCCCTCGGGTATCTAATTCCGGAATTCTTAAAAACAAGGAAAGTATATATCGAGTTCTCTTTTATACCTATTCAGTTATGTTTTAATGGTGATTAAAATATGACAAATTTTTTAATTACATTTCATATAAGAAAACACGCAAAACAATGAAACAAAAATAACTACGGCAGATAATTACCTTCAGGTATCTAATTCCGACCAATCAGCACCTCAGTAGGATATGACGTCATACAAGAATGGTGGTGAGGGCCGTTTGCAGTCCCGGCCGGTAGGTCACGTGACCGCCGGGCGCCTCGGGTCACGCGGCGGTCGGGAGTCGGACGCGGGGCGTGGTCGCGGGCGGACGCGCGGGGCATCATGCTTTGCTTTGCTTGCTTTGTCAACTTCATATAACTTACTATCGCATTCGTGTGAAAGCCAAACACTGCTCAGTGCCCTTAGAAATTGAGTTTTGGAAAGTTCAAGTCCCTATAGCTCCTCAGGTCGGCAACAGTTGAAGCCTCATCTGAACCCATGTGAAAAAAACGAGGGTAAGGAACCTTGTGTTGCTTTTTCTTTTACCGTCATAATTATCTCAAACCATCACAATTTTGAGTTGCCACATTGTCTGCTTCACTACATTCGTGTAAAACTTGGGTGAAGGCTGGTGGCTCAAAGAAAGGTGAAGATATTTCTTTAAGTGCCTAATCCGTGAAATTGAAATATCCCGGCTTTACAAATCTACACTTTTCATGTTCTCCACGATACATTTTTTAAAATTGTTTAAATTTTATCTATGTACATTTGTTAAAATAGGGGCTTTGGTTTTGTGTAAACTAGATCATAAAGTTTACTATAGTTTTGTGTAACCTGATGGCTGAAGAAAATAGTAATTTTGCTAAAATGATGTGCGGAAATTTGTTGCTTTCCAAATCAAATTACTCATACCTATATTTCATTCAAAATTAGGAGGCATTATTACTGTTTTTTCTTGTAACATGAACTGAGTTTGGGTACGGTGCTCCGGAAACGTTGTGGAACTTTAAGCTAGCTAGAGCAGTTTCCATAAAAATTGTTTAGATAGTTGACATGGCTTGTTGACAACTCTTTTGCTGTTTCTAAAAAAGTGAAAAAAATATTTTCCTGCATTAAGCACACAAGGCATGTTATTCTCATAAGCTATCGAATGTGTGTGTGTGTTTTTTAAGCTGTTTTTTTAAGCTTTTAAGCTGTAACTTCAGTTACTTCACTTTAGAACATATTGCCCAGAATGCGTCACTGATCATGAGCTGGTATATCATATCATATGTAGCAAATACATAAATGAGAATAGTGTGTCATGAATTTTTGTGCATGCTTCTGGATCATCTGTAATTACATCAAAGGCTCGGCTCAAGAGTGTCCTGCCGACCAGCTTATGCCCAACCCTTTCTGTCCGCAGAACGTCGCCTGCGACTCCCGCACGCCGTTTGCCCCGGCCGTCCGTACTGGTCTTCGCGCTGCGAGCCGCGCTGGAGTTCGCGGCGGCGTCGTGGAGCTCCCATCGGGACGGCGTGTGATGCCCGCGTCGAGCTTATAAGCCGTGAGCTTCGATTGGCGGCTCACGCGGTCACCAGCTGTATGTACAGCCTCGGCCCCGACGACCCCGCTAATGGCCGAGACCGGCATACCCCCGGCATGGGTCCGCTGTCCGGCGCAGCGCTGGCCGCCCGCATGCTATGCTACTTTTGGCTGTATCGCTGCCCAGCGGGAGCGCGCTCTACGCTGCGGAAGAGGTACGCGTTGCGACCCGACTGAGGACTGCAACCGGATGGTGACACGTCGGCCTCTGCGCCCTGGCCGAGGCAGGCGTGACCGACGTCACAGTGGAGGAACGCCCAAACAAGACCAGCCCACCGTCGGAGCAGCATGGAAATATCATGTTCTGCCTGGACGTCGGACCCGGCGGCCGCAGTGCACCTGCACACGTGCGGAGAGGGGCGCTGGAGGCTACTCTGGAGCTTCTGCCATTTCGCGGCGCGACTGCTGGCAAAACGGCGGCGATTGAGGCGGTTGGGAACAGCTGCAGCAATGGTGATGGCGGTGATGGCGACATGGCGGTTTGGGACTTCATCTCAGCGCGGCCGCCGCCCAGGCGCCGCTGCGCCCGGCTGCTCAGCCACCTACCGGATGGCGGGGTGGCCCTTACGGCCCTCACGCCGTGTTGTGGGGTGGCGGTCGCGGGGTTAGCGGCGTTGGACTTCGTCCTTTATCCAGACTGCACCGTACCATCTGAACGGATGGATCTGCCAAGAAAGATGACATCCAAGGCGGCTATGAGGCGATCACAAAGCTTCAGCAAGAGCTTCTCCTTCATGGGGCCGGCCGGCCGTTAAGTCGCAACACCGGCTGCCGAGTGCCAACAGCTGCGTGCGCTGGCGCCGACGCGTTGTGGGCCGCGCTGCTGACGCCCAAGCTGCGA